GGTTACATTTTCACAGAATGTTCTTTACCTTATGAAGAATGTTATTCAGAATCAGTAAATCACTAAAAAAAATACATTAGCTGGGTTTTCACAGACAGGGTCACATATATAAATATTTAAAAAATGTAATTTGTAAGCTAACAAGGCTTGGAGGCTTGGACCACCTATGTCAGCCCGCCACATACAGAAACACCTAGGGCAGCTGTGGCAGGAACAGCTTTCACATGGAGCAATGGCCACTCATGTCAGATCACTGACTCTGGAACTGTGGCAGTAAATAATGCAAATAAAGTATCCATTTCATTTGCACTATTTACATTTTCCTTCTGTCTTCATGTCTATTTGATGACCTGATATGAAATAAAAGAACTCAGCATTATTGTCTGATTATTAGCTAAACTTTACATCTGCTCTCTTTGTATTAAACTGTAGGATGACTATTCCAAACTATAGTCAGAAAATCAAGAAAAATTCCTTCATTATCCATAAGGCTTTTTTTTTTTTACAAAGCCACTTAGCTTTGGTGTTACTCTTCTCGCCTTTTTTTATTTGTTCTGTTTTTTATGATTTAGAACAGTGGGGTCCAATCCTGCTTCTGGAGGGCCAATGTCCTGCAGAGTTTAGCTACGACCCCAATTAAACACACCTGAACCAAAACAATAAAGGTCTTTAGGATTGCTAGAATCTTCCAGGTATGTTAGGACAAGCTGAAGCTAAACTCTCCAGGATGTTGGCCCTCCAGGACCAAGACTGGACACACAATTGGTCTTCTTTGTTGTGATGAATGCCATCTTATGCTTTAACAAACCAGGCTCCCACCAGATGTCATCATTTATCATCTGCATGTCTCTGGGTTTTGGAAAGCGCCCACACACTAGTCTTAAAGGGGTCATATGATGCGATTTCAAGTTTTCCTTTCGCACTCCCAGTGTTCCTGAAAGAAAGCGATTTGTCTGATGGATAAGCTTGAAATACAAAAGCATGTTGTCTCTGCAACATGCAAAAAACATATCTGGTGTTATTTGAGATATGGTATATAGGACACAGTTTAACTTGTCACTATAATTTAAATTCTAAATGTTTATGGCAGAATACTTACCACAGAATCTATTGTAGCCAGATTCTTGCAGGAGATCCCTGCATCCGAAATCAATCAGTTTGACTTTAAGGGTTTCTGTGTTGATCAGAAGATTCTCCAGCTTAATGTCATGGTGGAACACTACACGGCGACAGCTGATGTCAACGGCCGCTGTTGCCTTTGCCACAACAAACCATGCTATGTCCTCAACAAGGGCACCTCCACAGACCTCCAAAAAACCCCATAGATCTTTGCAGGGTGAGGGGCATTCCAAGACCATGATGTAGTGTTCAGGCTGGTCCTGCTAGTCCCGCAGCTGAATGATATGTGGAACTCTCGGACCCTTATTAACAAGGATTAATAGTGCAACCTCTAATGGAAGGGGTCCGAGATGACCAGGCTAGAAGAAAGATTATTAAAAGATCATTGGTAGATGGCTGTGCTTTCCCAAATAAGGATTTTTGTGCAGTCTATTTTTGTGACATCTATGGCAAAGAACCTTTAACATCCGAGGGACCTTTCAAATGGACAAAAGGTTCTCTATAATGGAAGATTCTTCAGAGTTTTAAAATATTCTTCAAACTAAGAAAAATAAATGGAACTGTACTGTTCATTAAAGGTTCTTTGTGGAACCAAAAATGGTTCTTCTATGGCACTACTGTGAAAGCCACCTTTTGTAGACTTTATTTTTAAAAGCGTAAACCAGGGGTCCTCAACTCTAGACCTAGAGATCCACTTTCCTGCAGAATTTAGCTCCAAGCCTAATCAAACACACCTGAACAAGCCAATCAAGGTCTTCATAATTACTACAAAGTTGCAGGTAGGTGTGTTTAATATAGGTTGGAGCTAAACTCTGCAGGAAAGTGGATCTTGAGGTTCAGAGTTGATGACTTTTGGTGTAAACCATTGGTCTCAAACTCAATTCCTGGAGGGCCACAGCTCTTTTGCTCCAACCCTAATCAAACACACCTGATCCAGCTAATCAGTGACTACGTTTACATGGACATCAGTAATCTAATTATTTACCTTATTCTAAATAAGCCAATATTATGATTATGGTGTTTACATGAGTTGATTTTAGAATATTCCTTTCATATTCCCGTTTTACACGTTATAGTACATAGTTCAATAATGGCACATGTCATTACGTCCCCACGTGACGTAATCAAAAAGCTCTGTTTACATGGTAGATTCTTAATCAGAGTATTGTCTTAATCGTGTTAAAATCGGATTATTGTTGTCCATGTAAACGTACCGAGTGTCTTCAGGATTACTAGAAACTTCCAAGCAGGTATGAGTTGAAGCTGGTTGGAGCTAAACTCTGCAGAGCTGTGGCCCTACAGGAATTTAGTTTGAGACCACTGGTGTAAACAATGAAAATAAATAGTGAGTGTAGCATACTTGCAGGGTAGATGTATTTTTTTATGTTCCCTGGCTTTCTGGCAATTTTCATTGCCACCTGATCAACAAAACAAAACATTACAATTACTTTTGAACATCTCAAATACAAAAAATAGTGGACATACTATACATTAAGAGGACTTGTAATGGACATAGCGAGACAAAACAATTTACTATAGCAAAATATTGTAAGAAAATTATGATACCTCAAGTCCATCCTCCAAGCATTTCCCTTCGTAGACAGAAGTATTCTCGCTCACCAAGCATTTTGCCAATTTCATACCGGCTCAAAATGTCGTCTGTTAACAAATAAATAATTGTGGTTGATATGAAATAGCAATTGATATGAAAGACAGCAGTGTGTGTAACTAAACTTACCTCTCAATTCTCAAGTCCTCTTTGTCGTTGTATCGTGATGCTGAACTGACTGGACTGTGGTGGACTGGAGATGGAGGGGTTTGAACATGAACTGTCTTATCTTCATGAAGTGGGATTTCAAGGCCACTGGAATTAGCTTCCTGAAGACCATTATCTTTCAGAGAATTTTGATCTAAAATGGGGAATATCTGTTCATGGCCTTGATCAGTCTTCAACTTTGATATATTTTGATACAATGATTTTGATACAATGTGTGATAGTGTGGGTTTGTAACACATTGTATTGTAACACTTCATCCTAGGGAACAGAAAATTTCCCCTAATTTAGAATTAGGTTTCCAATAATGGATACTCATAGCTAGCCGAAACATTATGTATATTTTATGATTCAAAGAGATTAGGTACACAGAAAAACAGGTACTCTTTCTCAAATGGTCATTTGATTTATCCTTAGGATTTAGGGTTTACAAAGTCCTGAACAAGTTGGCCCCTCAGAGTGTCTAATTTGCTCCATCCGTACACTCACTCCCTATTTCCGTTTTTTTAGGTCTCCTTTAAACATTCTCTCAAACCTTCAATGTTCCCTGACCACTGGTTTGATCATAGTTTTACTATTGTTTTATTTCTGTATTTCTCAGTTTTATTTTGTAATTCTTGTTTAATTTTTGTATAGCACTTAGTTTAACCTTGGATGTTTTTAAATGTGCTTTATAAATAAATATTGTAAGTGTAGCGAATCAGCTCATAAGGGAAATATGAATAATTCATCATAACTAGTTATAATTAATTATAAATATTTAGATCCGCTGTAGATATTTACTTGACCTCTCAGGGTCAACTGTCTGTCAATTCTAAGAACGTTAATTTCCTGGTTAAGGGA